AATGTTATATATTGTGTTATCCTTTGTGTATGGGCATAAATATTAAATGAATAAATAAAAGTTAATCAATATTATGACAACTTTTGCCTATTTTATGTCTAAATATTTACATAAAGATCAAATGGTATTAGATAGTCAAGAACGGTTGTTCTAATTTCAAGACATTTGATTTTTTCTCAAACAATAACTAAACCACTTTTACAACACGAGAAAATTAAGAATACCTATAACTCCATACATATTTTATACAAAAACACTATATACATTATATTAAACAATAATCTATGCGCTAAATAACCTCCCTGTCAGTCAAACCCCGAAATTAAGCAACAACATATTGCCAGCACACTTATTTTACACACATAAATCGACTTTTTCTTAAGACATTCACTTTTATCATAGATTATACAGCCTAAACCGATAATTCATTCACTTTAGAACGTGAGGCCATCCAGTGACATTTGAGAGTAAGCTGGAATCCTTTGCACAGATAAAAAATATTCCTTAAAAGGGCCAAGCGTTTAGTACGCCATCTTTTGGCCGAATTACGAAAGTTTGTAGTCATTTGAAGTATTTAGTGCAGTTTGTTATTAGGAATTGAATAGTGTGTTACGCATAATAAATGAAGTTAGTTATATTTTGGTATTTAGAGCATGTCTCTAAAACCAAATAACTTGAGATGTCTTCGTAAAACCAAGGATGGTATTTCACCAGGTACATACATACATAATTTGTTACTTTAAGGATTTAATACAGGGATGAGATTATTGAGAATCATACATTACGATATATAATAACATCACGCCTTTTATGCCACTGTACAATGTAACACCCACGTTATGAGTCCCATATAATAGTGGGTGAACCTATTGCCATATACCAGACACAATTCCAGACTCCGTGTTATAGCTGAGATTTTTTTAAATCCAGTAATACTTTGCCCGATCCGGAAATCGAACCCGAGACCTCTTGCCCGGCAATCACACTTGCGACCACTCGGACAATATATAATATATAAAAAAACGAAAATCTTCTTTTAATATGACTTTGCTCATTGGTAATCGAGTACATGGACGTTGAATGAACAAAATCCCACAATATAGGTGTCAATAATTCATAATATCTTACTTCACTATATATACATAAATAAAAATTCATAAAGTACAATGTATCACCCGTCACATCTAATTACAACTACCACTTAATTTCATCAAACAAATCACAAAAACTTATTACAACATAATTGCTGAGTAATCCATCAAAATTCAGACATCATTATATTGCTAGCAATTTAGGTGAACGAAACACACACACATAGACACAGATAGATATACAAACAATAAATAAAAATTGAAATATAATTAAATAGCAACACTACTTGTGAAATTAAAAAATCAACTTTCAATTTATGGTAGTTAAATGAAATAAGAATTGTAATATATCAAATCGATTTTTATTCGATTAGCTAATCGGGTGATCTATAATCGATATTTAATTTGTAGGTATGAATAAAATATTTAATTGAAATCGATTATTATGTATTGAAGTTGCGAAAATTGTGCATAAGTTAAATAAATACGTTTATAAAGTGCTTTGAAGCTACCGAACTTAGATAAGGTTAAGTTATACATGGTGCGATTAGAGTATGGATGGGTCTTCTACCTCTAGTTTTAGGAGAAATCATACTTCATATTATGTTACATACAATATATATTATGTTACATACCATGTTATATACCATATATATTATACTGATATAATGAATTGTAAGAATCCAATGACTAGTTTTCAATTTCATCTTTGATGTCACCGATTTTATGGGATAAACCGGTAAACGAGTAGACAGATCACCTTATGGTAAGCAATCGGCGCCGCCCATGGACACCTGGAACACCAGAGGCGTTACCAGCCTTTGGGAATTGGGAATTTAAGGATTGTGGGGGATTTGAGGATTGGGGAGACTGGTGAGGGGGTAATTGGGCCTTCAGTAACCTCACTCACACGACGAAATACAACGCAAGCGTTGTTTCACGTCGGTTTTCTGCTCGGGCGTGGTATCACTCCTCGAGCCGGCCCATTCGTGCTAAAGCAAGGCTCTCCCACACCTAAATACCTATTTAGTTTCTACTATATTTTATATTTTCTTTACGTTGCATTTTATCCGACTGAAGGAAGGGTATTTAACAGTGGCGTGCACAGGTTTTCGAGACAGGGTAGGCAACTAAATATCGTATGATTAAACCCCTCCCCCCCGCCGGTCATACAATCATGCTCACACAAGATAGGTACATGTACATAATATATTTTGAAAAGTGCGTTCAAGAATATTGTGGTGTATTGTTTCGCCAAATTACATACACTGACATCTCGCGTATTTTTTGTGAAGTACTTCATCAGCTATTGAATAAGCCATCAAAACTTACAAATAAAGAAAGATCTATTATTTATTTTAATAATGAAGCATAAATTTGATGAACCAAATTTCATTATGGAATTGTTAAGGTTAATCAATCTGGTCAAAATCATAATATATTACGAATTTAAGAGCGTAGGTACCTACATTATGTCAACAAACAAAACAAAAACAAGCGCGGCCAGCTGTGGCCGAGCCGGCCGAGTCTATGCGGTACATTTGTTATTACTACATTACATAAATATTAATAATAAATTAATATGTGAATCAGTACAACCCGAAGTCTAAGTTGATATTTTTAAGAATTATCAAACAATAAACAAGAAAATCAAATAAAAGATCCATTATAGTACATATTTACATTACCTACCTTTTACTTGGGTCAATTCTCGTAACTCGAGTACACCTCTGCCTATGGTCATTACCTGAATCTAGTCCGATAAAGGACATTGCGAAATCTTACTGTTTTTACTTTCAACAAACACATAAAATTACCTATTATTCACACACACTTCACAATCGAATAATATAGGTACTTGTACTAGAAACTGAGAAACAAATACACTATTTGAAAAACCTACACATATATTTAACTACTACTACACATTTATGCAACTTTATGTTTAAAACTAATTCCTAATAATTTAAACGAAAACATAAACAAAGCGATCGCACATCACATGAAAACAATATGGCCGAAAACATTGGAAATGAATTGAAGTCATTACCAATAGTCAATTGAGTGTTTATTATAAAAAAAATGTAGCTTAAAAATTAAGGTAACGCAGCGTTTAATTTCAAAAAAACAAACGTTAATTTAGTAAGTCAAATGAAATTGCATCATCGTCTTAAACCAATATTTCATACTAAAAAACATTCATTCATATAATTTGAAACGTTGTAAATGGCGCCATCTTGACGTATCAATAACTTCCTTTTAACTTTTATAATAATAAAGTCAACTCCTCGTTTAAAATTTCTATAAACCGACAACGCGTAAAAATGTTAAACTTTAATTAAAACACTTGAAAAATATTTGTTAAATACGCATTTATAAAAATACATTCGCATTATATCGAACGAGTTCAGAAGTTTCAACAAAAAATTCAATAGATGGCGCTGGTGTACTCCATTCATCAGTACTTTACGATATACATACAAATTTTATCAATTTAAATCCTTTTATGATTTAATTGTTTTTAAAAATACAATAACTTGTTGTTGTTTTATTGTATTTAGAATTCTTAATAAAATACGATCGTTTTCCAAGTGATGAACGAACGGTCCTCTAATTTTTTAGTTGCAAACATTTTGTCAATCAACAGGAATCGCGTAATATAATTATGAATGGTTCTTCTGTACCGTGACTATGGTCGTGAACTTCACGCATGCGCGGTGCATACTTTTGGTACATTTCTTTTGTGACGTCACTACTGCCAACCAAGATTTAAGGAATAGTGGCGCATGCGTAGTGCGAGCGGGGCGCATTCATTACTTTACAAAGGCGCGTATTTATGTTAGCCGTTTTTTTACAAACTTTTATTATATTATTGAATTTTAATAAACGCGTTTGTACATTATTATGTATGTTATATATTCACGATATTTATAGGTAGGCAATGCCTTTTCGCCTATATGGACTGCACGCCACTGGTATTTAATTTATTTTAAGGGGTAAATAGCAATACTGTATCTGTCTACAATTCTAAACGACTCAATTAAAACTACAGAAGGACAATCATAATAGATTAAAATGAATTTAGGTTTCTTTTATTTCAACTTTATTAGTTTTAGTGTTTACTGAGTTGTACATATTTATATTTTTCTTATCCTTATATTTTTAATAGCTAACTAATAAAGATTATTCTATTTAGTTAGTTTCTATGTTTGTGTGTACCTCACGCGAAAACTGTTGTACGAATTTAGATGAAATTTTACTTAGCGATAGCGTACTTACAGTCAGACAAGATTATCCCAAAAAATGAGGATTCCCACGGGATTAAATTCTACTTAAACTCTCAAGTTATTAATCAACTAAATCCTTTTACATCACACGTCACTCAAATCGTCTAGAATAAAATTAAAATGATCAATGCTTGTTTTTTCCCTTTAAAAACAATTGGCGTTGGCCAAACGTTGGCGTGTGAATTTGTTGTTTTTTGACGCCACGTCTATTGACCTTCCCTTCTGTTAATAACTTTATTTAATTTGAGTATTTGTTACACGTCTAATGAAAAACTGGCGATTGTTGCTTGCAAGTTGATTGATTGGAGCTTAAGGTCTAATGGAGTTATTGTTTTAGTGTAATTGATATTCTATGTGTGTTATTTGTTGTATAATTGTTGGTAGACGTAGCTTTTGTTTTGGTAATACAATGGTTGCTGGGGTCAGGTTGAAAACCAAAAAAATCATTAAGACCTTAGCCATAGCCTAAGGGGCTAAGGACAAACTTCGTTTATTCTGCGAGTGGTTAATCGCTCGTTAACCGCAAGTCGTTTTTGACGAGACGAGATTTTGGTATTAAAATATGGACAAGTAATTACAATTACATTAATTTTAATTATCTAGAAAATGATTGATAACTTACCCTTCTGCTTGAGGGAACCATTGTGTTTGATATTATTTTTGTATTGTAGTTACCTGAAAAATAAATATAAATTTTCAATTAATTTTAATGTAAAACAATTAATATTTAATTATTTTTTTTTTATGTACACAATTTTATTATGGCACATAAGGCGAACTTAATGCCATATGGCATTCTCTACCAGTCAACCTTAGGGTTTAAGTAGAAAATAAGCGAAAACTAAGGTACGGAGAATAAACTAACAGCAAAGAGAGTTAGAGAGAGAAAAAAAGAAAATATTGAATAATATAGCTATACATATAATATTGATGTAAAATGAATTACATTTAATTAATGTTGTTATATTTTTGATAATACTCTTCTTCACTAATTGTGGTAAGAGTTCCATGTGTAGAGAGTGCAAAGTGGATAGGCCACAGACCAGGCACAATATCCTTAATTTTCCGCCGTCAGTCGGCGTTAACAGTCAAGAAATAGTAACTTCTAGGAACATTCAATAACGCTACCAAGAAGTTCATACATCTCGGCTGTCAGCGCTGACGGTCAGCCTGCGGTCAGCGGGACACTAAAACTGGCCTAATACCTAAGTTTCGTTACTTACAGTCAATAGAATTACAATACTTTCGTTTCATAAAGCCGTTTATAGATTGCAATGTTTCATATAAATAGTTACAATTTGACCTAATGTGTACGAAGTTTTTCATAGATGAAATCACCTTGACCTCAACGGCTCTTTATTCCATGGACATATTATATTATTATGCAAACGACCTGTGGTAGTGTTACCTACATTTCTAGAGGCTCTTATGCCTAAATAAATTAGTTTGGAAATACCTGAAAAAGAATTGATGCATATGTTGTTCCGTTTTTGTATTTATTTTTAAAATTAGTTTTGAAATGCCTGCTAGGTTATTCTGTAGCCGTTAATATAAGTCAAGTCAAGTGTGGGAAAACCATGCTTCGGCACGAATGGGCCGGCTCGACCGGAGTGATACCACGGCCTCACAGAAAATCGAAAATCACGTCGTGTGAGTGAGGTTACCGGAGGCCCAATTACCATAATCCCCGTCACTACCTCAAATTCCCAATTCCCAGAAGGCCGGTAACGCACTTGTAACGCCTTGGTGTTTCGAGTGTCCATGGGCGGCGCCGATTGCTTACCATCAGGTGATCCGTCTGCTCGATTATATGCTATAATAATATGAACTTTCGAAGAGAGCTCGATCGCATTTTCGCCCTTCATTAGTTGAGATTATTCTTGCAATCAATGACATGGTGGACCGCGATCGAGTTCACTACGATCTTTCAAATTAAAGGTGACAGATTAGCCTATTATTATTATTTATTTATGTAATAATAAAAGGTACAAGGTATGCCTTACAATTTAACGCCATGTCCAACAAAATTATACACAAATAGAAAACTAATGATTGTCAAAAAATATGCATGTGCTGTACGGTTTTTGATATTGCCTAAAAGGTATGTCAAAGTCAAAGTCAAAGCATTTATTTCGATTAAACCATAATTTGGTACTTTTGAAACGTCAATAAATACAAAATAATTAATAATGTGTCAGTCGGTCCGTCAGTGAAGCTAGGTGAAGCTAGGTTATGTAAATGTATAGAATGTGTTTTACATTAATTAAATGAATCATTTTATTCACCAGTTGTTTTCTTCTTTATACCATTCATTTGTTACTATTTCAAACACGATTTTTACATTATTGTAAAGCGCATTTGTAATTTTTGTAAACTTCTGACTGCCTCGTTGGCGGAGTGGTCGCAATTGCGACTGCCGGGCAAGGGGTCTGGGGTCCTATTCTCGGGCAAAGTATTACTGGGTCTTTAAAAAATTGTCAGTGGTAGCACGGAGTCTGGAATTGTGCGCGATATATGGCAATAGGCTCACCCCTTATTACCTACATGGGACTCATAACATAAATAGTGAAAAGTGAGTGTTAAATTACCCCCTATTACATGGGACTCATAAAATAAAATAGTGTAAAGTGGTAACACCCACTTTTCGCTATTTTATTTGTACATGGCATTAAATGCCATAATGTGCACCTCTACCTACCCCTTCGGGGAAGAAGGCGTGATGTTATGTTGTTGTTGTATGTTTTTCTGAAACGGATGACTAAATTATTATGTTTTCGGCTTACTCACGTAATAATTTGACGAGGAACTCGACTAGTTTCAAGCCTTGCTAGAGGCTCGTATTCATGAGCAGCATTTCGCGACCCGCGACTTAGTCTCGAGCTAGTCCAGACTCGAGTAGCCAGTAGCAGCCAGTCGCCGCGTCGCGGGTCGCGAAATGCTGCTTTCATTGATGGTCTATATGTACGATCTGTCATTTGACATGGTGTCGTCACAATACTAAAAACTGTCAAAATCAAAGGCAAAAAACCAGCTCTAACTAGATAAAGATCGATGTGATCATCGTTCTCTATGTATTTATAATTCAACTACAGTTCCCATAAACATATTCAATAATTAAGATGTTTTTAATTTAGCTACAATTAATTTAACACCTCTTACAATAGAAAGGAAATGGACAGTAAAACTTAAATAAAATAAAACACTGCTCACAACGGATGCATCAAATTATGCGTATAGATCATATTCATAACATCCGAACTAGTGATAAAATTTTATAACATTGCATGGCATTTTATATTCACGTTGCATATCAAGCTACACTCTACATGTCAATGGGTTTCCAATCTTATCACAAGAGGGTACAGTTGAAAATGAATTAAAGTATTTTTGCTATACCAGCATGTCAAGCTACCCCATGTCTCTCAGTATATTTTCGATTTTAATACTAAACGGTAAAGTTTAAATTGTATAAATCGTATTGAAGCTGGCATTTGATTGATTTGTACACCTTGTCAGATAAATTGGATTTCGTAATAATATGGCTGTTTTTGAAGGTTCAGTGAAAAAAAAAACAAGTCGATTATTGTTATATTCCTAAGCTCTAGGTTATAAAGTGTATTGCCATATACCGGGCACATTTCCACAATACGTGCTACTACTGAGATTTTTAAAAACCCAGTAATACTTTGCTCGACCCGGGAATCGAACCCGAGACCCCGTGCCCGACAGTCGCATTTGCGACCACTTGGCCAACGAGGCAATCTAAGTAAATTCTGCTCATATATTACGGTACTGGTCGTGCATTCCTAAAAATAAAGTCAATAAAACTTAAGTTGTTAGTCAATTCAGCATCATTCGCAATCCTATCAAATCACAGTTAATATCCAAGCATCAGATAAACGCAGTTAAGTTACGAGTTAAGTTATACTTATGTGGTTACCCGTCAGCAGGTAACCTTCGCTTAAACCGTTCAGTTCACGACTTTGACATATCAACTGAGAAGAGATTTGTAATTTTAACTAAGTTGGGAATAAGTTAGGATTAAGTTAAGCGTGGGATTTACGGATTTACTAAGTTAGTTAAGTTAAAAGTGTTATTTACTTGTTTCTACGCAATTAATTTTGGAATTTTGTTGTAATGTGCTATGTTAGAGATTATTTCAGGTCTTTATACATGTTGCTTAAGTTCTTTTGATCAGAGAATTTATATGAGAATGAATTATCTTTTTAAGTCTTTATTAATTATCTAGTTAGTCAAGAGATTGTTAGTGTCGCTATCGAGGTAAGTTATGAATTTGTTCTTCACTTGGATTCAGTATAAGAAAATTGGTTGCTGGATTAAAGGCCATCCCTATTTTCTACATAACTTGGTTAGCTATCTAGACTCTGCGATGAACACGTGGGAGATCACGGTTTTAAAAATAGCTGTCAGAATGTAAGTTCCCCAGTTGGCGCCTACGATATCCTTTAGAAGATGTGATGATAAGTGCTTTGTTAAAAATAATGTGCCAAGTGACTTTAGAAAATAGAGGCGTGTAGTTATTTATTTCATTCGATTCCTAAAGTCAAAGTCAAAATTAGTTATTTTAATTAGACCAGGAAGGCATTTTTGAATGGCAACAAAAAAATTAAAAGTGAAGCTATTTGCTATGGAGAAGTGCGACCAAGAAACTCCATAGGTTACTGGTGTCTTTTTCAATCAGATTCACAATACAATTCTCTAGTTACATAGTGCCCACAATAAAGTAAGATCTTTAAATAATTCGTTGTTCAATAGCTTACTATCAAGTTAGCCATTGCTACAGACAGACATTTCATTTTATTAACACGTGAGTAATGCAAGTAAGAGCTGTAATGTCCTCAACAAATTAAATGATTTACGAAACATTGCGTTCCCCAGTAAAATGTTTGATGGAGTTGAATTCTTGGTAAGCTAAGCTATCCGTATATTATGTATATAGTTACTTACATATTGCACTTACACGACTAAGGAAACTTATTATTGAATCATTACTGAGAAATTATTGTTAAAATAATTAATCTGTAATAACTATCGTGAGACATATTAAATGAACTAAAAATCGCTGGTTACTCACGTGAATATACTGAGAAAAGCTCTTATAGTTTCAAACCACAGATTAGGCTGCGCGATATCGCCGCGACCGCGCACGTTGCTCATGAGGAAAAACCCCTCTGTTGTTCGAAACTAGTAGAGCTTTTCTCAGTGAATTCACGTGAGTAACCCGCGAATTTTAGTTAACATAAGGTCTTTACATCAAGATATCAAAGAAGAACTTGCGGACCGATGTTATTCTTGCAATAAAAAGCTTAATTATAATCCTTTTGATTACGAATGCACAAATATAGATCTGTTTAGTGATGTCTATGAGACTGATTACATAGTCAGTGATAGCTAGGCCATGAAGCAATATGAGCTAGCCAACTTAACTAAGACGACAAAAATTCTAAATAAGACGGTTATCATTTTTTATTGACGAAGGGGTTATTGAAGGTTAATATAATATATCATACTGATATTGGAGTTAAAACTTACATGGACAACAATTTAGTAAAAAAAATTGACCAGAGAAAGAAAGAAGCTTTGCGAATAAATAAAGACGAAGCTTTTTTTATGGAATAGGAGGCAAACGAGCAGACGGATCAACTGATGGTAAG